TTAAAAGGTATTAAGTTGTCGTAAAAAGCGCACGTTTTGTGGTCACCAATACCAAAGCAAGTGAGCCGTTAATCTCACTAGCTGACGGGCGGACGACGACCTGAGTAAACAGTGTTGTTTTGCTTTTGACCGCAATGTTGACCTTAGCCCGATAGATAATTTCGTACTTTCATAGTTGACGCAGACAACGTCGGAGGGCTGACGTAAGAACGTGAAGGGTTCGAAGGGATCGCCGCGACAGTCAGTGGGTGGTTTTTGAAAAGAAGAAAATGCAGCTGCAATGACAGGGACAGATGATCATGTGAAAAGGAAAAACGCTCTGACTAACCCTTGATTCGAGGCTATGCAGACGTTATTCAATGACCTTTGACTTTGAAATCCAGAATGGGAATGCCCTTGAAACAGAGATCTCTCGAAAAACGTCTGAAAGAGCATTGGCGAAGAACGAGACCGTACCTCAGCATCAGTGGAGACCAGTCCTTGAAACAAGAATCGTATGGAGTTCGAAATTCCACGAGTTAAAGCTGAAACGAGTATTTTTCAGTTTTCAGCGTTTCCATAAAATTTTTAGAAACTTTAAAAATCTGAATAAATTGAAAGTTTTGTAGGTAGTAACGGGGCTGCGCTCATTTTCAGGGGTTATCGTTTTAATGGGCGCAAGTGAGTGAACCTACGACGAAAGTTCGTAAAGATGCATGGTGAAGTTCTGAAAAAAAAACTGTGAAATAGAGGAAAATTGTGATTTTATAGTTGAAAAGACTCTTATGAAATCGAGGAAAATTGTGATTTCATAGCCATTCTATCTAAATGGTCTGCCTACAGAAAAATTCTATTTATTCTTTACAGGAGAATCTAGCAAGCTTCCCAGGATTTCTTTTAAAAATTCGTTAGTTTTGGGTGGCCCTATGGACAGGTAGGATCAGAGCATTCCTCTCTTCCTCAACTCTGGGCAATCTATAACTTACTACACAAATTTCTGACACAGAAATCCGGAAATGGGGAATGCTGGGAAGAACTCGTTCGAGGCCACTCCCTCAGTATCCAAGCTCATTCCTGGAACTGTAGCATCCAAAGCAGGTTGTATTTTCCTAAGCTTTCTGGATTAGTTGGCTGAGATACCATCGTTAAGAGGAAAAGAGAAAAAAATTGGTGCTTGTATATCAGTTTTCCAGGCTAGCGCCATGCACTCGACCGCTGCTCAGATAATATTAACTTGAAAATACTCACACCCAATAAAATAACTTGAGGACCACAGAATAGTATCTAATACATTGGTGATTTTGCTTTTGCATAGTTTTCCACCGCCTTGCTGAATCTCGTCGTTAAACAGAATACGTAAACAGCTAAAGTTATAGCGGTGAATCCCACTAGCACCCAACTTTCTATCGCAGTGGCCCATAAAATTCGATGAAAACTCCCGTATGGGAAGAAGTTCTCAGTTTCCTTAGCTTCTGAAACTGCCCAAACGTGTCCATTTGCAGCAGTTATCGCACGGTTATCCTATTGCAGTTATCGTTGACTGAGGCTTCACATTTCTCACTCTTCCACCTTCACTGGTGCATTTCGTACTAGACGTTCATGGCTTTACTTTTATTTTGACTACTTTCCAAATAAAATTTGTTCAGAACTACATCTAACAAATAGCAGGTTAGACTTTACAGATTTTTTATTTCTTTCTTCCCATTTTTTTATTTGTTTATATCACCACTTTATTTTATTGTTCAGACTTCGGAAACTTCTGTGTGCTGGGATAGATTTGTTTCTGACCACTTAGATTAAGCTCTTTCGTTCGCATGTGAATTCACGGCCTTGGACAGCGGTGATCAGCTGATTTACCTTTCAGATTGCTACCCCTTTTTTGTGCAGGTTTTCTTTCGCCACCAGAAAAAGAACCTGGTATGAAAAGTACCTGACGAATTTCATCTGTCATGTGCCATACTTCATAAAGTTTGCAGAGTATTTTAGCTGTCACTTACACTGATTTAAAAGTGGATGAACTTTTTCAAGTGCACTTATACAATGAATACGGCGCAGCCAGAATGGCCTTAGCTGTCATAGTAACTCTATAAATTCCCTGGCAACATGCCATAGTCCAAGAGTCCCGAAGTGAACGTTGTGCGATTCTACTGGGAACAGTTGACAGATATGATTTCTCGACGAGAATGATCACTCAATCTCTGTTCGTTTTTCCACAACTTCCCAGTTTCTCCTGCTCTTGGCACGTCCCACGTCCCGGGTCCCCCCTCTGACGGTGGCGTGCTGTTTCGGTGGCGGCCGTTGACCGTTAGCCATGCACCGCCCTCTGACCCGCCCCCTTCTATCGCTATGCACTGTGCGCTTGGGCGGACTGCGCCACCGGGGCGTCGCTCCATCGCCGCCATTGCGATGCCGTTGTGCTTCACACTTTTGCTCATTCAATCGCCATCCGATCAATCGATCGATTCTGATCATCGAATACTGTGCCCGTTTCGAGTTACTGTAACCCCCCATCGACAATGTTGTTTTATCCATTTGCACCAGTTCCCCAACCACTTCGCAAATGTGTTTACTTAGTGCGACCTCGTCATTGAATTCCTGCTCAGATAAGTAGACACTCTTAATGAACCAATACTTTGAGCCATTATTGATCGATCCAATACCGGTTGATTGCCATTTTCTTTGAGTTTTAGACGTTTTCTCGAGGTTTCCAATGTTACCCATGTAGTCCTTACTTTCAGATAACAATCATTCGCTATTGTTACTAATGTCGTCTTATTAATAATACTCCTACACCTAAATTGACAACGTAATCGTCAAAAAATCAACGATGCGTCTCTGTACAATTTCACTGATCTACGTATTAGTGCGGTTACAATCGTGTGCCATATTGAATCTTCGGCCAAAGCAGATTGTCAATTCAAGTGAGTTATCGTCGTCACATCGTCGTTTTTCTTTCCCCATGTTATTCTAAGACTTTCACTTTTTTTACGCAGTTTTTTTCTATCATTGATATCACTCGCTCGCCAGTTCGTAAAACTATCGCCACGATGTCTTATTAATTGGGTCAAACCACACATCGAATGATTTGTGGTGTATTTTGATTAATTGTTTTATTTTATTCTTCATCACACTATCATTTTTCGTTTTTTTTTTCGTCAAGCATGACTCACGATTATTTCTACATGTCTACAAAATCCCTGCAACTCGTCCGATCAGGCATTCACTGCGGGACCCATTTTCTTCTACATTGTCATTTTAAGTGCATTGGGTGTCCCGAGAGCTTCGCACAGGTGTCACCCATTTCAAATCGCTTATTATCCCTTATGCGCCAAGATTTTACCGTGGTAACCGGTAATTTCCCGTGGATAATATGATAATTGTTGGCTTTAGCTGTCATTAACTAATAGCTAAATGGGCTTTTGGGCGTCAGTGGGGACAGTTTTGCTTCTACACAAAAATTTAGGGCTAGGTTTAATGTCTATTCAAGAAATTCATAGCTCTTAGTTCTGGTTTTCACCCTTCTCTGGTTCTCCTATTTGTTTTTGTATCCACATCTGTTAGCTGTGCTGTCAGAGTTGACAGCTTGTTTTCTCTCATGATGACAACTGAAATTTTGAGCCAGTTTTAGTTTGTCCTCATTATTTATTCGATTTCAAATGGCATCGTTATTACTAGAATGGAGCAGAAAGTTCCTTCTAAAGTTATCGGAATAGATTTTTTCATTTTTGGCTTTTAATTAAGGCTTATGGTTTTAATCCACTGGTGCCCACTTTCATCTCTGAATAAGTTCCCTGGATATTCTACCTGCCCAGAGCTCAAGGCCTATGCCCTTTGGTTGCATGCATGGTGAGGGTTAATTCCGTGTGTTTGGACATCCATCTTCGGACTGGCGCTATTTTGACTTTCCTGGTTTTCTGTGCAGAGGATGCCCTTATGTAGTCCTGCGCCACAGCTTTTCATCCAGGATTATCCGATATTGAATCTTGAATTCTCTCTAAGCATTCCGCTTGATGAAATTTCATCTTCCAAAGTACAATTCCTGAGTATTCCCATAGTTCTGCTAGGATGGCTTCATCTATATTATTCTCCTTGCACTTTATGCCACCATCCGAATTGAATTCTTCGGTCGGAACATATGCGTGGGAGAACTCGTCTATTGAGACAAGTTTCTTTCGGAACATCTCGTATGCCAGCTTTTGAATGCCTCTCATAGTATTGCGAATTGAACGCTTGGTCCAGTGAACAGTTGCTATTCGAGAGGGTGGCAGCTGCGGAGTGGATTAAGATATTATCTCATATAAAATTCACTACCGAATTGCAGTTCCCTGCAGACTTCTGCGCGTCCTTGGATGAATGTTCCCTGCTGGGTCGATTTTAACGGGATTCTGTCTTGTATGAGGTTTTTAATGACTCGTTCAACGTATGCGACGTGCGTGAGTTCGTTTTCTCCTCGTAAACGATGCTGTCGGGTTCACGGATCGACGGCGACGACGACTTCGACGAGGACGTCTACTCCCCTAATCTCACTGTAATCGGGCGCAATTCGTATCTGCTGGTCAGATCGTCTTGTCTATCGCCGGTCGACATCGCTTCTATAACAACTTCCAGCAGGTCGTTGTAGAAATTGAACAGCCAGTGAAGGTTGGGGATTTATGAAGTTTCAAAGTCGGTGAATTAGAAAGTCGCGACGGGATTTTACTCCGAAAAAGCGAACCGTTTGGGCTCAGCGTCATCTTGGTAATACATCGTTATGTCAGCTGTGACAGTGGATTTTTCCGGGTTTTCTTTAGAACATTTCAGATCTGAATTCTTCCTAGAGGTAATCCTTTACTCTTCCTACTTTTCTAGCTGTTGAGGTGAAGGTGGACTATCAGGTTACCCAGCCGCTAACCTAGTCCGTCGCCTGCTGGTACAGATGCTATTACCGTTCCCTTTTGCTTGTTTACAAGCGCCTAAGTGGCTAATCGCTGGTTGAGGGCTTGTTTTTGTCTTGGCTAGTTTAGGAATAATTGGCCCGAGCTCCTGGTAATAAACTGTGTCCTAATCCCGACCAGGATCTTCCCCGGTCTCCCTCATATCCTCTAACGATTGCGCATAGCGTTTCATTCGCATAGGAATTTGATCAAACGCTCCTATATTTGCTCCGTCGAGCCGGTTCCGCCGCGTTCAAGTTCTCACCTCGTTGAGTGAGATAGCAAACGGCTCATGAAAGGATTATCTTGGCTAGATTTTGGCACGTTTGACGTGGTCCGGCCATCCTGTCGCCATCACTCACTCACTCATTAACCCCCGTAGTTCACCACATAGGTCAGCAGCGTCTTTTGTCTCTCAACGTCTCTTCACGTGGACTATTGTAATGAACTATGAGAACGTACGGCGACCTCTCCCACTCTCTCAGCCAAGGGTGAGCTGTGGGAATGACGGCGACGGCAGAAGCGCCTGCATTGAAGTGTATAGGCAACAAATGTCATGCCGGAGGTCTAGGAATCATTCAACCGGGATCATTGAAATCCGCTCAACGGAAACCTAATTGGGAACCAATCGGGGCGAATTGCCAGGACATGATAGGCGACGTTTTGTCTGCCATCATCGGATCAAAATGCTAATTGCGAATCCAAATGGGACAAAGAGCATGTGCCCTTCAATAGCAAATCACTTTATATTTATTACTATTGTGCCATCGGTGCTTGAAAAAAATGGAAGTTACCGGGTTTTTAGATATGCATCAAAGGAATTGTTCATATGAATCATTCGTGAACTTCTCCCGAATTTCCCTTCGGTCGTCTACGCCAAGTGGAACACAATAGATTGGTACTAAACGCCTTTTTGAATGGCCATTCATACCAACACATAGGCGTATAATTGCTTGTGTCCTGTGTTTGAAACACCGCGTACTATTCAAACGACACCTATCTGGTCTATTCAAAATGTTGGGCGATGGCCATGCCTTTTTACCAATGAGTAGTACCCAGTAATTAAAAGCGGCCGACTTTATTTCACAGCTCCCATGTCGTGGATAATTGTATTGAACAGAGAGCACACATAACACCCGGACCAGTGTTTTCAAGGACTGTTTTGTAAATTTACGTATATTACGGTCATCGGATGTGTTGCTTAGTATTTAGGTAACAGGAGCAATTGCATCCGTTCGATGTCTGAGGTTTTATTCTGGCCACTGGCCGGGTTTACAGTTCGGGCCTCGTTACAGTAATTTCCTGGCGAT